AGTATCTCATGTTCTGTTTTCTTCTATTCTTTTTAAGGGAAAAAGACCATGCTGTATATACTCCCCCACACACAAACACACGCACACACACATAAAGGGTTTATCCAGTTTATGGATTGTATCAGCTCCCTCTGAAGTCCCACTACACACACATGAATCTGGTCTCCTCTCTGCTGTATTTCTCTGTAATGGTAGTTATCACCCTGCGGGTCTTAGGATCAGTGTGAAGTCCCTGCCTCACCACAGCATTGCAAAGGTGGAGACGCATTATACATCAGCATCCAGTGGAGCCCATTCTATTAAAACGGCTTGTTAATGATTCCCCCCCCCCCCCTTCCTGCTTTGTAATTAACACGTATGGATCTATAGAATAGGATTCGACAAAAACTCATGTCACATGTAAAGTGCATTGGGTTATTTGTATGAAACATTTCAATGAATTTGTTAACAGTTATTTTCACGCTTTTATTTAAATAACCATGCTAGCGGTTTGCTAGCGGTATGTTTTAGCCCATTTACTGTTCCACAAATGATGTACACTTCATATGCATCTCGGTTAATCATTTGCAAACTGCCGTGAAATGTGGCTTAGAAGTGTGATTTTTGTCTTCTCCTTTCTGTTCTATTCAGCTCTTGGTTTCTATTCGTTAAAGTAAGATATAGTAATAGCAGATATTGGAAACTTGCTAAAGCTCTACAATCCATTACAATGAACATCGAGTCTGTAGTATTTTTGTCAAAGTTATAATCATGAGGGTATGGAGTGCTAACTTTTCAAATCCATTAACACAACGAAAACAAAACATTGAAAACATTAAATTCAAACTATGTTCAATGTGATGAATTAACTTGTTTTCTTGTGAGACTGTTTAGTATGTGGTCAGTATGTCCAAATAACGCCTGTTTGGAAAGTTGCTGTGATCGTTTTCTGAGATGTGTGGGAGCAGCTGGTGGGGCGTTGAGCATTCCTTAGTCTGCTGGTACAATCATAATTAATGGTTTAGTGGGCAGTATGCAGTACACACAGATCTAGTATGTAGTATGTATACGGTAATATGCAGTACGTCAGTATGCGATTTCGAACACAGCATGTGCATGCTTTGCTTGACTGTCATATTCCTCATCAGTTAAAGGCAGGTTTGGTAATCTTCAAAAACATTTTAGATATTTTTATTGATATTCTCATTACATCTTGACAGCAATCAATATATGAAATGCTCTGCCAAAAAAAAAGAAGAAAAAAATTCCGTATCTGTGGCGCAGCACTGTAATAAGCCCGCCCAATCATTTCATTCGGACCAAAATAAAGATCATTTTGGGGGAGTGGCTTAGGAGGGAAGCCCGAATGGACGTGCTGTCAGTGTTGCAGACTTGGCGAATTACTCGCTTAATTTAGCAACTTTTGGGGCTAGTGCTGCTTGCTACTTTCATTGGAAGCGAGTTGGCAACACTGTGCTGGCTTTTTTGGTTGAATGATTTCTAAAATCTTGCTAGTTTCTCAAGATCACCAACCCCACCTTTGATTGACATCCCAGCATAGCTCCACCCAACTTCCAGCAGACGAGAGGTCAGCCAGAGAACGCCTTTGAAAGTGTACAGGGTCTTTACACAGACTGCTCTATGTAACTGTACATTTTCTTCATTGTTATTCAGCCTTTCAGTACTCTGTGTGTATTTAGTCCACTGGGGATAACACCTTTAACACTTTCAGCATCCACGCCTCTTTCTACCCATTGAAGTGAACAACAGCAAAGCAGTAACATGCCAGTCGCTATAAAAGGCTGAAAGTGAGAGTCGAGGTCCATCTGTAGTACTGTACAACACAACTTGGGCTCTCATCAGTGCAGATACCAAAGCAGACAGCAGTGCTGTGTCATTCGTTGCTATTCCAGTCCCCCAGTCATCAGTGGATCCCGACATTCTGTCATCACTGCTTTTAAATTATTTATAACACATTAGTATTTCTGGATCCCCCAGCCATCGTTTGCTTGATGAATCTATCACCACCAAGTCCAGTTTCATCTTTGACTCTTTAATCTTTAATAAAGAAAAAGTATTTCATCAAAGCGCCGCCATGAATCGCAGAGTGCGTGTGGTAGGTTTTAATATCCTAACATTCAGTCTCTGTCGGGCAGTGAAAAGTAGTCTCACTCCTCACCTCTGTTCTCTCAACAGGCAGTTTTATATGACTGACCCAAAATTGCTTCTGAATAGGAAAATGTCCCTGCATTGTGCCCGTGTCTTGCTCAGTGGTGGTAAACACACTCCTTTGTGTTACACTGTCAGTTTCAGTCTCATTTTTTGTAAAAGCTTTTCCTCAGATCAGGCAAAAAAAGGTGATTGATAAATTGGTCGTCGGTGATGTGAAGAGAATAAAAGAGTCTCCGTTTCTTTGTTTCTTTTGCTTTTCCTCTCTGCCATTACTTATTTAAATGAAATCTCTCACAGTACAGTGAAGGCCCTGAAGGGATGGAGGGTACAGTTGAGCTGATTTGAAGGGAGAGCAAGCCGGTAGTCCTGACCGGTACTGTAGAGTTGGGAAGCTGCGTGTTCACAGCTCAGAGAGAGAAGGACCTCTTACTGCTTTTGCTGTGTTGCTCTTCGACTAACGATGACACAGTACAGTGTTACAATGTATTTCATTGCACTGCATTGTTAATGCTTTCAATGCCATGAGGTCCAGCGTGATGTAAAATCAGCTATAAAGGATGTGATACCATTAAACTTTAACGATTGCCTGGGGCCAATTGGGTCACCGCTGCACCAAATAGTAGGAGTATACAGCAGGGGTAAAACAGAATATATATACAAGTGGGATAAAAATATGAAGCTAATTTGACTCATTTAAACACTGAGAACTTTAAAGTTAAGCTGATGTATAATAAACGGGACATTGAAAGGGGATTTTTTTTGTTTCTCACATTCAGTGTCTCTCACCAAAACACAGTGTGCATCCGCGGAGTCTAACTAACCAGTGCAAAAGTTTTATGAGGAAGGACTTGTATTTGAACTCTCTAAATATTTAAAATTGTGCATTGTTTAAATCCATGTTGACTAGCTTGCCATCTTCTTCACTGCCTTTGTGTGCACATTGCTACGCTCTTTTGCATCCTCCAACAGAACAAGGGCACTTAAAAAAAGCTCTATAGCTATAATAGTGCTCCACAGGACATAATGACAATATGCTTCACATAGAAAGATCTGACGTACAAAACATACGATCACATGATGCATTATCAGAGATTCAACCACTTTAATATTTGCTTCGTAGTAACATGTACTGGTTCAGTAATATTAATGAAATATTACACTGCTAAGGTCAGTCTGCCTCCATAATGACTGCTTTTATATGCTACTACAACAATTTCCCCCACCATTGAGCATGAAATAGCACTACAGTCGCTTTCATTATCATCCTCGTATATGTGATAATACTGACCGTGACATCTGTGTGATCAAAGCAATCATGTGAATCATGGCCTGATAAGATGATTGTGTGTATTCACTGTAATAGGGCAGATATATTGCAAACCCTGACATATAATGTGCACTGTAAACATCGATAACCATTGACGACATCACTTCTGTAATCTAAAATATGCAGATAGCAAAGGCTCAGAATATCCATCTGGATCTCAGAATTTGCAAGATTGTTTCACTTTCACTACTTAATGCTGCCTCCTTCTCACATCTAAAATTGCAGGATGGATCAATAAAAGCACTAAATGAAGAGAGCCAGCGCTAAAAAGCAGAAAATGGAAATGCAATACACGGTGGACGCGTCAGATATTGCATTGCCATGGAAATGTTATCTTGTTAGGCGGTGACACAATTTATGAAATATATAAGAAATATTATGTAACTGCTCTCTCTCTCTTGTCCCTGCTCTGTCTCTCTCTTTCTGTCTGTCAAAGACTGTTAGAGCACAGATTATTGTTGATGTAATAAAATCCAGCCAGCCAGTGAATCGAAACGACAGTTATGGCAGGGCTTTGAGGATGGAGATGGAGGAAGGTCTCTGAGTGTGTGTGTGTGTGTGTGTTCCTATCAGTGACTCGGTGACACTCTCCCCAGCCTATCTCCACTGTAGGGGCTGAAGCTCGTCCATCCTCCTGCAGGGTAAACGTCTCTCCTCTGGACTCAGTTTGGTTCACCGAACCCTTACTGAGAGAGACACAAAGAGAGTATGAAGGGATGTGGGGATGGAGGAGGAGTGGGTGTGGGTTTTCGACAACAAGAGAAGTGAGGATGCTGGTCGAGCGGGGCAGAGGAGGCGGAGTGGGATGATAGGTGAAGTGCAAAGAGAGAGAGAGGGAATGGAGGAAGAGAGAGGTGGTTGGATGATGAGAAGAGAGGAGGAGGAGAGAGAAAGTCCATGCAGAGCTCAGTCTTCTCTGACTAAGAATAGCAGCTCTTCTGGTAACCCAGTGCCCCAGGACATGACCGTTTGAATAAAAGCCTCTATTGCATCACATAATGCCCGGTGTGTGTGCTGTACTGTCGGTGTGTGGCGCTTGCATGTATTGGCGTGTCTTTGTGTAAACGTGGGGAAGTATTTTGAAGGCAGATGCTCGGGGAAATTCATCAGAGTAATAAACGAGACAGGCAAGAAATGAGAGAGAGAGAGAGAGGGAGAGAGAGAGGGATGATGATGATAGACTGGTGGAGAAGGGAGGCACTCTGTGACCCCCGTCCCTCCCATCCTGTCTCACTCTGTGCCTGTGTGCTCTGCCTGTTTCATGTAAGGTCTGTGGAACTTTATATGGGATGGATCTGGGCAAGGAAAGAGTGTGAAAAGCAATTGTAGTTGAAAGCCACGTTTCCATATGCGTCTCCCATATGTCGGATTAGCTGTGGCTCGCATCTCAAAGGGGCAACCAAAGCATCTTGTGCTGTAAAATGAGAATGTTGGCGTAACTGAGGGGTGGTGTTGTAGATTAATTAGGGTGTTGGGGTCATAAATGTAAACAGCTCTTTTCTCTTCATCTCTCTCTCTTCAGCACTACTTCCTCATCGTGTTTGGTCACGATGGACAGAAGCCTCTGGAGCTGCGGACGGATGAGGAGAGTGAGTGCGATGAATGGGTGGAGGCCATCCAGCAGGCAAGGTACACACCTAGTATTGCATAAAGGATATTTGTGTGCTTTCCCCTCTCTGTGTTGTACAGCGGGAAATATGACATTAGACTGCATGACCACAGTTTGATGTGATGTGACAAAACAGTAAGATTAGAGAGCAATATTTTGGCCATACTGATGGTTTTTCATTTTAGAGCCTATTAAATTACAAACTGCAAAATGATTGTGTTCCAAATAATTCTTCACTTTTTGCAACTTGTTTCAGTTTATTTATGTGGTGTCAAACTTGCAAAGATTAAAAAATGTGGACTTCCAGATTGGCGATGTAGGGTACAGAAACCAGGAAGAGGATGTCCCTTATTATTTTTCACACTGAAACAAAACAATTGTAACCTACTTGTAAAATCCTTGGGATTAATCCCCTTGAACTTAGACAGAACTGCTGCGTAAGCTTTGTTGAAAACAATAACCAGACCTAGCATAGTTAGCAAGCTAGCAAGTAAAGCTGCTGCTGCTCAGAACAACAATGACAGCGGGCCTCTTGATATCACCATCCCTGAAAAAGGTTCCATGATCCTGTTAATTTTAGAACTGGCCAATCATCAGGCTATTATGAAAGAACTTGGAGGTACTGACTCATCCCTCTTCACCCTCGGCTTCAAACCGCCCCAGTGCGTGCTGGAGGTCTTGATAAAATGGAGTTAATAGAACCACATCATCTGCAAAGAGCAGGGACGCAATTCTGAGGTCCCCAAAATCGCCCACTCTGCTCCCCCCAGCTGCACTTTGAGATCCTGTCCATGAAAATCACAAACAGAATCAGTGACAAGGGACAACCTTGTGTTTGACTTTTTACTTTGTATCAAGCATACGGACACAGCTCTCACTTTCCCCAACAGACCTCCCCATCGAACACTGTCGGAGTCCTTCTCCAAGTCCACAAAACACATGTAGACTGAATGGGCAACCTCCCATGACCCCTCAAACAGTCCTGCAAGGGTAAAGAGCTGGTCCACTGGTCCACGGTCAGGACGGAATCCGCATTGCTCCTCTTAGATCTGAGCTTCGACAATCAGTTGGAGCCTCCTCTCCAGCACCCAAGAATAAACTCCACCGGTGAGGCAGTGTAATAACTGCCACTCCACAGGCACTATCCCTAATCTCCACACAATAGTGAATAGGCGTGTCAGCCAAGACAGCCAAACAATGCCCAGAGCCTTCAGCATGTCAGGGTTAATCTCATCAACCCCTTGCACCTTGCCGCTTAGAACACATGCTATACGACTGGGGCATGGTTAAGGATCTATGGGGGAAAATAATATATATTTTTTAATTAACTGTTCAATGTGTCCCTGACCACTGAAATTAAAAGTCAAGTTGACATTTTGTCACCTGATTCATGTGAGTTCCTGGTCACTAGTTTGTCAATTCCTCGTCACGTCATTAGTCACTCGGTAGTGACCAGGCGGCAACGGATTGAAGCCAATAAGGAAGTATCTTAAAACTTGCATTCTCTCTACTGACCAGCAGGGGGCGATTCCTCCGGATGCAAAAATAAGTCAGGTTGTATAGAATTCTATGAGAAAACGACTCTACTTCTCACTTGATTTATTCCCTCAGTAAACATTGAAAACATGAGTTTATGGTCTAAATCGCTAGTTTCAAGTCTTCTTCAATACAGTATGACGTTCATTTAGTATATTATGATCCATTTAGAGTCAAAAAGACCATAAAGTATGCTTTGGGGAGGGCTTACTGTGATTGACAGGTCTCTACCAGAGACGTATACGGCGTTCACTCCTCTTCATTCAAAATATGATAACTTCCGTTCATTGGTTGCGAAAAAACAACATGGCGACGGCCGTAATTCAATATGGCGACAGCGAAATCGCCAAACTCGAGGCTTCAAAAGAGCAGTCCACAAACCAATGGGCGACATCACAATGACTACGTCCACTTCTTATACACAGTCAATGGTAGTGATGTGAGTTGTCAGGCAGGGAAGTTATCGTCTGTTGCCCAATTCTAACTTCCTGTGAAGATGGAAGTTTATTTTGAAAAGACACTATCCATGTAACAAGCGTATCAGAATCAGTATCAGAATCAGAATCGGCTTTATTGGCCATGTATGCGTGCGCATACATGGAAATTGGCTCCGGTTACACATTACTCTCATCGTACATACACACATATGAAATATATACAATAAACAAGAGAAATATAAGAAAAACAAGGACATTTAACAGCTATATACAATATAAGTATAAATATATCCCAAACAAAAGTGTGTATGTATATATATACTGTATAAAATACAATAGTGCAAACAGAGGTAGTGCAATATCACTTATTTATTGTTCATGAGAGTGACGGCCAGTGGAAAGAAGCTGTTCCTGTGTCTGGTGGTTTTGGCGTACAGAGCCCTGTAGCGCCTACCAGAGGGGAGGAGTTGGAACAGCTTGTGTCCAGGGTGTGAAGGGTCTGCAGTGATCTTTCATGCCCGTTTCCTGACTCTGGAGGTGAACAAGTCCAGGATGGAGGGCAGGCTGGAACCAATGATCCTCTCTGCAGACCTGACAATCCGTTGTAGTCTGTTTCTGTCCTGTTTGGTGGCCGATCCAAACCACACAGTGATAGAGGAGCAGAGAACAGACTGGATGATGGCTGAGTAGAACAGGATCAGCAGCTCCTGAGGTAGGTTGAACTTCCTGAGCTGGCGCAGGAAGTACAACCTCTGCTGTGCCTTTTTCTGGATGGTGTCGATGTTGGGAGCCCACTTCAGGTCCCGGGAGATTGTGGATCCCAGAAACCTGAAGGTCTCCACAGCGGATACAGTGTTGTTGTGTATGGTGAGGGGGGGGCAGTGTTGGGGGGCTCCTCCTGAAGTCCACTGTCATCTCCACAGTTTTGAGCTTGTTTAGCTCCAGGTTGTTCAGACCACACCAGAGGACCAGCTGTTCAACCTCCCGCCTGTACGCAGACTCATCACCGTCCCTGATGAGGCCGATGATCGTTGTGTCATCTGCGAACTTCAGGAGCTTGACCACACATCCCTGGGGGGCGCCAGTGTTGATAGTCCGGGTGCTGGATGTGATTTTTCCCAGCCTCACCTGCTGCGTCCTGTCAGCCAGGAAGTTTGTGATCCACTGACAGGTGGAGGCTGGCACAGTGAGCTGGGAGAGTTTGGGTTGGAGTATCTCCGGGATGATGGTGTTGAACGCGGAGCTGAAGTATATTGACACGCCGACACTGACACCTTCAAAACGGATGCTCGAGGGGTAGGTAGAGCGTCATAGTTTGAAGGTTTGCATCATTTGACATTGGTGTGAGAAGGAGTTGCCCAAGACGCATGGTAATGTCGGGTGTAAACAATGATAGTCTCAAGTAACTCCCAGCATAGCTCTGTTCAACCCTGAGCATGAGTCTAATCAGCCAGAAAAACACATGTGGAGGTGTGCAGGAATTAAAGTGAAGAGGCTTTTCTTTGGCAGAGGATATTTTGATGTGTCACAGTAAGAGCTTGTTAAACTAATTAAGCACAAACAAATTAAGTTCAGAAAAACATTCTTAGTTTAGTTATTATTGTATGATTTTGAATCTGCCTCATCGGGACTGTGTGTTTGTGACTTGATCAGATTTGATTTAGGGTGCTGGCAACGTAACCAGACAATCCCAAAACTGGCATCAGGATTTGATTTAAACTTTGTCAAACACATATCGGTGCACTGAAATATGTGACAACATACTTCAGTAACTTTGGCAGGAAATGTTGTGTTCAATAAGGACCCCATCGCCACAGTGAGAAGTTGGTCGAGAAAAATAGGTTTACGTTGCTTTTAAGATTTTTTAAGTTTACACAAGATAATCATTTGGATAAATCCTCCCCACATTAATTTTAATACACTTTCAAAAAGCCTCAAATGTTTTTGTTATTCCTTACTTTTCTGTCATAACAGAAACACAATGGGACACAACACAATGAGGGACAGAAGCAGGAAATATGAATCATTTTGTGTATGATATGTGCTTCATACAACTGTTTACTATTTGTGGACTTCTCTTTGTTTTCAGTTACTCTGACATCATCATTGAACGAGAGGTGCTGATGCAGAAATACATCCACCTTGTACAGATAGTGGAGACTGAGAAGGTGGCCGCCAATCAGCTGCGCACCCAGCTGGAAGATCAGGGTACAGAAATCGAGAGGCTCAAAGCAGAGGTACAGCACACAAACACACACCTACACACCTAAAAGGTGTCAATTCAGTAATTGACTGTTCCATCTGGGATTTAAATTGCGTACCCTCAGGACACAATGCATGTGTAAACTAAGCAGGATGCACAGCACAACAGACAGTGCATGTGTGCAGCTCGCATAGCATAGAAGACCAGCAAGTGATGAGCATTGTATGTATGTATATGTATATATATATATATCCCTATGGGTATGCAGTGTGTGTGTCTTCTCACAGCTGTGTTTATTGCAGCAGAGGAGTGGGTGTGAACAGTGCTCATTGGACTCTGAGCGTAGGAGGAGAAGCCCACAGCTCAATAAAGACAGCCCATCAGCTTCCTTACAAATCAGCTGCCAAAAACCATTACGCTTATCGAACGCAACACCTTTCTGTTCTGCCGTCACAGGACGATAAATCAGATGAGCGCGCTGACACAGAAAACACAACTGACCTCTACAACGTTGTTAATCAGAACTAATTACAATTCTCTCTCACACATACAAACGACAGCAGGTAATTATTGGTTTATGGTAATTAGATCAATAGCTCTAAGCGTTTCTGAAGTAAACAATAAATGAGCCTACGTTGGATCCTGACATCACTGTATTCGCACATTTACATCATCTATCCATCTATCCATCCATCCCTCCATCTGTCCATCCCTCCATCTATCCATCCATCCCTCCATCCCTCCATCTTTCCATCCATCTTTCCATCTGTCTATCCATCATCCCTCCATCTATCCATCCATCCCTCCATCTATCCATCTATCCATCCATCCCTCCATCTTTCCATCCCTCCATCCATCTTTCCATCTGTCCATCCCTCCATCTATCCATCATCCATCCATCTATCCATCCCTCCATCTATCCATCCCTCTATCCATCCCTCCATCTATCCATCCATCTATCCATCCCTCCATCTATCCATCCATCTGTCCATCCCTCCATCTATCCATCTATCCATCTTTCCATCTTTCCATCCCTCCATCTATCCATCCATCCATCCATCCATCTATCCATCCCTCCATCTATCCTTCCATCTTTCCATCTCTCTCTCTCTCTCTCTCTCTCTCTCTCTCCATCCATCCATCCAGTGATCCTTTTGATGATTTTTGTGAAAGTTTTTGGCCAGGAACTTAATACTTTGGCACTACACAGTATTGTGTTGAATTGTATACTTGCCCCCACTTGCTGTGTTGCTTGGTCATCTGACCTGTGGCTCAGTGGAGAGCAGAACCGTCCTTCAATCAGAGGAACGGTGGTTTGATCTCCGGCTCCGCTAGTCGCATGACCCTTAACCCCAAAATTGCTCCCGCAGCTGTGCCTACAGGGTATGAATGTGATCGAATCGCTTTGGATAAAAGCGTCTGCTAAATGACTGTAATGTAATGACCGGCTTTGCATGAACAAAAAGACTGTCTCTGTAATACTACAAATTGCATGGCATTGATTAATTGAAGGTTTATCAACTGAAACAAATTAAATAGTACTTTATCGGGAACTTTAAAGTAAAATAAAGCGTTATCAATGTCTTTTTATTTAATTGCTAATTTCCTGTGATTTTACAGATCATTAAGTGTTTCAGATAAGAAGCGTTCTTTTATGTGCCACATAGATGGCCAAAGGGCTCTGCAGAGTTATTCTTAATGTACAGGTGCTTGATTGAAAATAAATTCTGGTCTGAGCAGCAGTTTGCCCCCGAGGGAAGCTGTTTGCTCGTTGGGCCAGCTGCTGACATCTCTGTAAATCACAGCTCCACCGCCATTTCCAATTCCAGCTTGGCTCATCTGTGTCAAAAATGGCTTGTATAAATACTTACTTGCAGCGACTATTTCTGTGCCCGGGAAGAAATAACACTGTTTAATGGATTAGCCTGTTACTCTGCTTTTAGTTCTCCCCCAGAGCAACAAGTGTGGATGCTTCTCAGAGCAACAAGTGTGGATGCTTCTCAGAGCTACACACTGTGATTATGCCTCATTGGCGGGATATGGAGAGCCATGTGGATTATGAAAATGCTAACGAAGTAACGTTTTTTTATTAGGAAACATCTGCCTGTGTAATTGAGCTGCTCATGAAAAAAGGGTTACACTTTGAGAGCCGGTATGCAGTTGGTGATCCGTCTCATTAAAACACACTCTTGTTTGTTTGTTTATGTGTGTGTTGCTCTGTGCTTATGACTAATTAAACCAACTAGACACTGTAACTGTCAACAGTTGGCAGACTGGCTCCTCTCCGCTGCCATTAGCATGAGAACGCTGGTGGACGAGAAAATGAGGATGAAAGTGTGTGGCTGGAGATGGCTTTGGTGATAAACTCATGTCATCAATAAAAACAAAGAGGTGAAAGTAATATAGTACAAGAGACTCGACCTCTGCTGGGTTCATTTCCCCACTGAAGATAGCGTTGCCAAGAAAAACCTTTTACCAGCTGTGTTTGAAGTTAGTCATCACTGTTATTTAAAGAGAAGCGCTGCTATTTATTATTAGGTTTACTATGTGAAATGAGATTTTTCTTTTCTTTTCCACAGCTTAAATAACATTTTGAGTTTGGCATCTTCCTGGTGTATTTCCTTTGCGATGTGTCACGTGTTTGGCTGGCTTTTTTTCACCTGCAGCGAGTAAATGTCGCACGTCTAAAGGGAAATTTTACTCTGCGGTCTGAAGAGAGTATTTTATGGCTGTAAACATGATAAAATAACTATTAGATAGAATTGCTCTTTAAAAGAGTTTCCATAGATTGTTTTGTGTTAGAAATATATTCATCTGCAGAACTAGGATTGACGTCAGCAGCTGCCATGCCCCACAATTCACTTCAGGTAATCAGGCACATCAAAGTCTTAATTTGCTTACTGTCACCAGCTGATAGCAGCCCTCCCTCTCCTCTGTTATTCTCTCGCTCTGAATGAAGGCACCGAATTGTCAAAGATGAAGAAGCCTGATGTCTATCTGGTGCAAACACATCAACAGTTCACTGTGCACACATGACTATCACATAGACAACATTCAACCAAATTACTCCTAATCCCTTTTGGAAAATAACATCCTCATGAATTAAATCGTATCACTTCCTACCATACCTCAGAAGCTCATTGTTTCTATTTTACGTGATTTTACTGTTGTTTAATGTGTCTTTTGTCCAGCTATTTCGTCACCCACATAATGCTCATTTTTGTTTGTGATAAAATTTCTCCTAACAGATTATAGCTCTGAACAAAACTAAAGAGCGAATGCGGCCTTACCATGTCAACCATGAAAATGAAGACCCGGATATCAAAAAGATCAAAAAGGTACAGTTTTTTTTGTGTTATTCTCTTTCCCGGTGTCTTACCTGGGATTTCTTGCAAGTGTTGTGCGCGAGCATGTTGCATGCACAGTATGTGCGCTCCATGTGCTCGATTGTGTCTAAGCTACCTCGTTCGTACGTCTTCAGGTGCAGAGCTTTATGCGAGGCTGGCTCTGTCGGAGGAAGTGGAAGATCATCGTTCAGGACTACATCTGCTCTCCTCACGCTGAGAGCATGAGGAAGAGAAACCAGATCGTCTTCAACATGGTGGAGGCAGAAACAGAGTATGTCAATACGTCATGGAGTAGCAGCACACACTCATTATTGTCAAGCTTTGCAGCACATGTCATAACAGACATTCCCATCCCATATTTCACCTTTCAATGGTTTCTCAATAGAATTTTCCAAAACAGTTTTATATCATGATATATATTGATAGTTGATATCAAATGATATACTCTAAGATAGAATATTTTACTCATATCTGCCTCCAGTACATGAATTCAAATGAACTCAATCATGGTTAGAGAAAAACAAAAACAAATCATGGGTCATACATTTATTTTGATCGATGAAACATCTTATGTTGCAAATCTTAACTTAGTGAAGTCAAAAGATACTTTCAGACCAGAGAGGATCAGTAATGTGTTTGTACAGTAAGGAGCAAACCGGGAGAGGCATTCATTATTCATTACTCTCAGCTAGAACAAATACATTCATTGAACTGTAAGACAACATTTTACAAAACCCTACAATTAAATATTAACAATGTCTTCATTAAACGTTTTTTTCTCATGTACCGCATGTGTTTTGAAGATACAATTGAATTTCTGACACATTGTGCATGTGATCACAGGTACGTCCACCAGCTCTACATCCTGGTCAACTGTTTCCTCAGACCTCTGCGGATGGCGGCCAGCTCTAAGAAACCCCCCATCAACCATGACGATGTCAGCAGCATCTTCCTCAATAGGTGTGTTAATTGTGCTGGAGAGAGATACTGAGGTTTTAAAACGGTAGCAAATAATAAAAATCTCTTTTTGTTCACACTGTCTTCAGTGAGACCATCATGTTCCTACATGAGATTTTCCATCAAGGCTTGAAGGCGAGGATAGCCAACTGGCCAACACTGGTGCTGGGTAAGCTGTTACTTAGCCTCACACACAAATACACACCCACTATGCATCCACTCTGCAGCCAGCCAGTGACATCAAAGGTCAGCTGTTCAGTGGTGCAGTTTGTGTCATTCAAACGTCAGTCTTGACGTCTTACTTACACGCTCATTTCCCTATCTCAGTCTGCAACAAGCACACTCCTTGTCCTGACAGACAATGACCACCCATACCAGAAGGCGTCCCACAAATTGACCTCCTAAAACAGAAGCCCCCTCGACAGATAAGCGTCACCTAGGTGACAGGCGGCTGAAAGACGCGACAGCAAATTACTTGTGACAAACTCAGAAAGAAAAAGGTTAGACTGATTAAACACTCTTATCTGACGCCAGGCTTCACTTCAGGCTGGGGCTGTTTATAGATCTCGATCAGCGACATGTTTTACACGCACATCAAATCCATTTCTGTCGTAACATGACAAACCAACAATCATGGGACAGCTATAATACAGAGTACCAGTAATAGACATAGCTATACCAAGGGCATTTACAGAGTATATAAAAGACCCCTATCGATGTTTTCTTGGTCACAGATCTGACAAAAGGCTTTAAATAACAATGGTAGTTAAACTACTATGGAACTGTGCCAGTATTGGTTGCAACATAATGTTCAACTGAAACCAACTGGTGGCAAATAATTGAGAACTGCATTCCGTCATGTGACTTGCGTAGTATACTGTAAAGCATGCGTGTGTTTTTTTTGTTTCTAGCCGACCTATTTGACATCCTGCTCCCCATGCTGAACATCTATCAGGAGTTTGTGCGTAACCATCAGTACAGCCTGCAGGTTCTGGCCAACTGTAAGCAGAACAGAGACTTTGACAAGCTGCTGAAACAGTACGAGTCTAACGCTGCCTGTGAGGGAAGGATGCTCGAGACCTTCCTCACATACCCAATGTTCCAGGTAGATCACGGGTTCCAGCTCACAAGAGCGTTCACAAACACACACTAATACAAATGTCGACTATTTATTTTTAATGTCAAGCATTCATTTCAATAACCTTTTTTCCCCACATTGTTCTCTCCTACAAGATTCCCCGCTACATCATCACCTTGCACGAGTTATTGGCACACACGCCTCATGAGCATGTGGAGCGAAAGAGTCTTGAGTTTGCCAAGTCCAAATTAGAGGAATTGTCCAGGTACGTGTCTGGACAGTTGTCACAATGATCAACTTTCCTGATACATTTTTGATATTGAACACTGAACTAACTGGCGTTTGTGTGCGTGTTGTCAGAGTGATGCACGACGAGGTGAGCGACACGGAGAACATCCGGAAGAACCTGGCCATAGAGAGGATGATAGTGGAGGGCTGTGACATCCTGCTGGACACCAGCCAGACCTTCGTCAGGCAAGGTAAGTCTTCGTCAGCTCACAGGCATTGCTCACCACTCAGCAGAGCTCTGGAGGGTTTTCCTGACAGTAAGACCCTCCCGCTTGTCAGCCTGTGATCTGAGGGCACAGACACAGAAGCCAGAGCTCAGTCACTGAGTCATGACATTAGCTACTGTAATACTTTCTCCTGGAGGAGATTTGTCTCCATGTCAGCTTGTCCAGTGGAAATGTGATTCTACAAACTGGCTGTGGTTCTCCATTCTAACATCTCAAAGTCATTATTCTAAGGTTTAGTAACTACTAGCATAATTTAAAGTAAGACTATCTTCCTGATGAATTATTTCCAAGTTGTTTAAAATTTAATGTTAAACTTATTTTGTCTAATGACATTTTTGCAAATTTCCAAGATGAAACTGTCTAATTAAATGAAAAACCTCTAAGCACTTACAGCACTGTCTCCACTTTCAGTACACGGTTTGCTATTGTAAATTGCTTTGGGCAAAAATGTCAAATTAATGTAATGTAAAATTGTAGATTTAAAGCCACTACAAGTTCTAATTTTCTTACTGGGAGAACAAAGGGATTGCCTGTTGAACACTTGTGAATGCTAAAGCTTTAGCGTGGAGTCATGGTGCCAGAACCAACAGCCTGCCTAATCCAACCAAACAAAAGTCATTATTGATCTCAAATGTAGTCCATCAATTCTACTCTATTTGTAAGCAATTATTTCATGCAACATGTGGTTGGCGAGCCAGTCCAATAAAGGCACTGGTCCAAAAACCTGCAAAGTCTTTATACTTTAGATGTTCTCTTTTTGAAATGCACTGAACCATATCTGTACCAGTGTGGCAAGAAGTGCGCTAATTGCTACAGTGTGCACACATGAAATACATGTGTGCAGAGATGGGTAGTTCAGAAATGTTGCTTTTTTTACACCAGTTTGTTTATGCCACGGCAGATGCCGACCAAAACACAGCCCCCAGCTTAGTGTCGGCCTAATGAAATGTAATGTAATCCTGTGCCCCCTCCTGCTCCTCAGGCTCTCTGATCCAGCTGCCGTCAGTGGAGCGAGGGAAGCTAAGTAAGGTCCGTCTGGGTGCTCTCTCTCTGAAGAAGGAAGGGGAACGGCAGTGCTTCCTCTTCACCAAACACTTCCTCGTCTGCACACGCAGCTCTGGAGGAAAACTGCACCTTCTCAAGGTCAGAGTCGATTTCTGAGTGGGAATTCACTTTTTAATTGATCGCAATTAAAATAAACAGTTGTTCAAATTTGCTATCAAACTCTTGCAGCAAGGTGGAGTTTTGTCCCTGATTGACTGCACACTCATAGAGGAACCAGACGCCAGCGACGAAGAGTGTAAGTTTAACAACATCTCTGAAGCACTGTGTCTACGTTGGTCGACACACAAGCAGCTCTTATTGACTCATTTAGGCCCTTCACCACTCATGGAGGTTAATTAGATGTCAGATGATAAGTGTCCAGAAATGACTTCCTTTTAAATATCAGATGCTCACCCCTTTAAATGTCAGGTTTTGATCTTTTGACATTGATGATCTTTATCCATTCTTCTTCTGAGCACTCATTTTGCAAATAGGGAGAAGTGCCAAGACAACCACATGCATGTGCACACTTCAACACACACCTTTACACTTAAGCCTCAGGGGCACGTATCGGAGATAGCAGGTCCACTGAATTAACCCTCCGTGTGTGTGTGTGTGTGCGTGTGTGTGTGTGTGTATAAGCACAAGCAATTCTTCTTAACTATTATCATCATTATTATATTAAAAACTTTTTTTTCTCTCTATCACACAGCTAAAGCTGGCGGTCAGGTATTTGGCCAGCTGGACTTTAAGCTCGTATTCGAGCCTTTGGACTTGCCTCCATTCACTGTGGTTTTGCTGTCACCCTCGCGGCAGGAGAAGGCGGCATGGACCAGTGACATTAGCCAGGTAATACACCAACACACACCCATACCAACACAGAATAACAAGAACCTCTAAATAGCGTAAGCGAGTCTCTGCTGGGCATTGACAAGGCTCAGTGATAAGTAAACACAGACACAGGTGCAGTTCCCCAGGGGCGAGTTCAGCTCACTGCCTCGGTACTTCACAAACAGAGTAGTACCATGCAAGCATGTCCGACTGGATTAGTTCTTATTTAAGAAAAAAATACATTGACTATTGTGAATTGCTCCTTTTCTTTTCTCAATTCCTTGTCAACCAGACTTATAAAAAACATATTTCTCAGCATTTTAATTCAATGGAGGCGCACAGATAAAGAAAGTATTTTTCTCTCTGACCTGTTTTATGACGTTACAGACTCCACCCGTCGTCTGCTTTAAATTCTGTAGGTCGAACAAACGTGAAAATAATTTGCAAATATTCTCACTTTTCCATCTCATACTGTCATTCTTTCACTTTATTGTCTGTGCTTCTCTTCCTTTTCTGTCTGCCTCTGTAGTGTATAGATAATATCCGCTGTAATGGCTTGATGACCAGTGTATTTGAGGAGAACTCTAAAGTCACTGTGCCTAATATGATCAAGTAAGTATGTATGTGTGAAGAGGAGCAACCATCTCCTAATGCCAGTGTTGTAAAATATATGTTGCAGCATACCTAGTTGTGTTGATGTACTGTAAAGTTTTAGCCTTTTTGTTATGTATTATGTTGTTTTTTTAAATATTCATTTCTGCTCCAAAGTGTTCTTTGGTATCCACTTTTATTTTTAGCTTCCTTCTTTGGAATATGTGGATTTTCTTTTTGCATTTCTCTTTTTCACTTGGCTGTTTTTGCTCAGTTACGTTCATAACCTTTTCCTTGGTTAGCAGCCCAGCAGTCACCCATGCTGTGTGTGTGTGTGTGTGTGCGTGTGTGTGTGTGTGCATGTATGTGTGTGTGTACGTGTGTGTCCATCAGATCCGATTTGCGTCTCCATAAAGATGATGTTGACATTTGCTTCAGCAAGACGCTCAACTCCTGCAAGGTCCCCCAGATCCGCTATGCCAGCGTGGAGCGGCTGCTCGAGAGGCTGACCGACCTGCGCTTCCTCTCCATAGACTTCCTCAACACCTTCCTGCACACATACAGGATGTTCACCACGGCAACGGTCGTCATGGGCAAACTGGCCGACATCTACAAGAAGCCCTTCTCCTCCATACCTATCAGGTCATACATTACAAACACACAAATATGCATTCACAAACAGAGAAAAAGGCGATGACTCAGACAAAACTTGTTGGTTTTGTTTGTGTACGTATTAGTGTGTGAAACATGCAAGAATGGGTGTTTGCACTACACGAGTGTTCTGAGAGTGTTTTATTGGCTTTGCTCTCTTTTTTTTATTAACTGTGAATGATGTAGTCAGATGTAGGTCTGTGTTTTGGACTCTCTATTCACAAGGTTGAATACTTACATACCAGCCTGTGTATGAAGACCAGCAGAACAGATGCTTCAACAAAGTTTTTGGCACAGCCATAGGAATATGCTGTGTGTCAAATGAGGAGTTTCTCTCTCTCTCTCTCTC